GTCATATCAAACATGTTTGTCTAATCAACTATCCCGCTATAAAATGTGAGTTGGGAGAGGCCCAAATTACTTCGAATGTCGCATTTTTTTCCCCTGACCCATTTGCATTCATGGGCTCATAGTGTAGTGGTATAAGTCAACAAGATACTCAAGAACTGGTATCGAATCCCGTTGCGGAGTTGATGATACAGCCTCTTAGAGGGGAAAGCTTGGGCAAATTCAATGGGATCCTGAGGTTTACTCAATGGAATTTGAGAAAAAGTCAACTATAAATCCTTAAATCGGCAAGACTGACTAAGTTTTTATTCAATTCACTCTAATACACTTTGCGAGCTACAGAAGAAATGTGGTATTTTTCTGCAGGCAACTTTTGGCTCAGCAATCTGTACATTCATTCATTTTGCGCCAATCTTATCTGCTATCTCAGTACACGCGTGAATGCATGCATGTAGAGGCACTGCCGTACATACATGTGGTTATCTAAAGTGTTTTCTATGAAAAAATCTTCTATTATCATTTACAGGTGAGCGATTTGGACAAGCATGGAGAGGATGTAGTTCACTGTCATTTGGGACCCGAGGACAATTTCACTCTGATCCTTGACGAGGCTGGAGATTTGTCTGAAATGGCAGGTGAAAGCGTATCGGGTGGCGGCGGCAGTGGCTACTCGAATGGGCTGATAAACGGGCTGTATCCAAGCGATGGTCTAGGTCTGGGACTGGGATTGGGTCTGGGTATGTTAGGTCCGCGTGTCGCCGAATTGTCGGGCAGACGAGCAGCCGGACGTCGAAGTACAGACTTCCGTCTGGTGACGGGTCGCCTGCCCTTAAGCAGATCCAACGGAGGCGCCGGACTGTCGGAAGTTGTTATGTCCGGGACGCGGCCTGGGAGTGCGGGGCACATGCCGTTGGTGACGAATCTGGACCGCGAAACGACGCCCCAGCAACGAGTCACCATCACTTGTCAGGACGCCGCCGGCAACTCGGCCAGTCGAGTCGTCCTCGTCCATCTCATCGACGTGAACGACCATTCGCCCGAGTTCCTATCAACTCGGTTCATCTTCCGGATCGCCGAGAACCGACCGCCCCGCGACGGCCACGAGATCTGGCTGGGCCGGGCGGCGGCCCGCGACCTCGACGAGGCCGAGACGAGGACGGTGTCCGAGTCCCGTCTCGTCTACCGGATGGCCGAGGATCGGCTGTACGGCGCCGGTGGCGACACCAGCGGTCTGGCCCATCTGTTTCGCGTAGACGAGGCCACGGGTGACGTGTACGCTCGCGCCATGCTAGACCGGGAAGAAGCGCCGCCCGACGGCATCTACCAGTTGACCGTGTTGGCCATGGACGCCGGGCATCCGGTCGCACTGACGGGCAGCGCCACTGTCGAAGTGCACGTCCTCGACGTCAACGACTGGGAGCCCGTGTTCACGGAAGAGGTGTACATGTTCAGCGTGTCCGAAGATGCGCCGTTGCGCGAGGTCGTGGGCCAAGTCGAGGCAGTGGACCGTGACGCCACCAGCCTGGCCAACCGTGGCGGCAACATCACCTACCGACTGGTTCGACCGTCCGCCCAGGCGGTTGCCGGCCTCACCGGCCTCCTGCTCGCCGACCATTCGGCGCCCGGGCTCGAGTCCCGTCTCGGCCAGCGCCGCACCGTCTCGGCGCCAACCCACCTCCGGACGAGGCGGCGCCGAGGCGCCGACCAGCAGTTTTCAGCTCACCCGACGCCGAGGATGACGACGACGAATACGACGAGGCAGCCGCGCTTACCAGCCCTGGTTGAGGCTGGAGGGACGACAGCCTCGGGTATGATACCGGTCGCCGGGAGGTCCGGGCTCTCGATGGCGCCGGCCCACTTCGCTGTCGACAGCCAATCCGGACACATACGCGTCATCCGACCGCTTGACCGAGAGACCAAGGCCCACTACACGCTGCTGGTTATTGCCGTCGACTCAATGCCTCCGCCGCCGCCACTGCCGTCCGGCGCGGTTCAGGCCTCCGCGGGCGAGTTCGAGTCCGTGGCCGAGTCCGGCGGCGCTGGCGTCTGGCAGTCAT